GACTGAAAATTCACAAAACAGAAGCACAGCAAAGACAACAACAATTGCTATGAGTTTCAATAGCAATGAACCCCTCCTCTTTAATAGATGAAAATTTTATCTTCCAAACCCCATCACAGCCATTTCTCCTGCCTAGGAGCTCCAGCACCTAAGAGTCAAATCCTTCAAGAAGTCACTGAGAGACCTGTGAGAGGCATCCAGGTCATAGCTGTGTACCTTTTAAAGAATTTATGCTGTTAGACTGAGGCTGGTCTGAAGGCTGTATACTGGCACCTGCTCCCCCAAATCAGAATGTATTTACCTATAGTTTTTTCCTCTTACTTGTTCATTATCTTAAATACACATATAATTACCACAATCTCATCAATGGCTGTTTGCATTGTAAATTTCCCATCTGAAGTGGTTTTTTTTTTTTGAGACAGAGTCTCACTATGTTGCCCTCAGTAGAGTGCTGTGACATCACAGCTCATAGCAACCTCAAACTCTTGGGCTTAAACGATTCTCTTGCCTCAGCCTCCCAAGTAGCTGGGACTACAGGCGCCCGCTACAATGACCAGCTATTTTTTTGTTGCAGTTGTCATTGTTGTTTAGCAGGCCTGGGCTGGGCTTGAACCCGCCAGCATTGGTGTATGTGGCTAGCGCCCTTCTCCCTGAGCTATGGCACTGAGCCTGAAGTAGTATTTTTAAATGACAAGATGAATTTTTTTTTTTCAATCTACAGGAGTAAACTAGAGACCCCCTACAATTTAATATGTGGACCAGAAGTGAGATTTTTCAGCAAACGATTTCCAGAATGCCGTTTTTTCAATAAGCTAACGTGCAACCTTAAAAGGGTAAAGAGGTTTCACTTCACAGGGACAAGAGATAGCAATTAACCTAGAAGTTCAAAAGTAACATGGGTACCAGAATACAGCCAAGGACCATGCTCCCCCTGCACATGGCCCTTGGCAAGGAGAGGGACCTGCCAAGCCCAGTGAGGCAGGCAGGCGAGTCCTTTCACCTGTTCTCACCGTGGCTCTCAGTGGGTAGAGGGAACCCCGAGCCCTACAGCCCAAGATAGCAGAACACTTAGGAGAACAAGTTGATGAAATGGAGTCTGTTTCAAGGCCACAGATATTTAATAAATACCTACCTCCTACTAGGTTCTGACCTGGATGCTGGCCAAATGCAGGGATGAAAGATACATCTGCCCTCATGGTTGTGAACAGAGACCTGGGACCTCCGTGAGGAGTACTGATGGGGGCAATCAGGTGCTAAGGAAGCACAGGGGAGGGGGTCCAGCCCAGCCTGGGGGTTGTGGGCAATTCCCAAGTAAGGAGAAGCTAGAGCTAAGACCTGAAGAATGAACAAGGACAGGCCAGGCCTTAGACAGAGGGAAGGGCATCTGAGGCACAGGAATAGTTCATGCAAATGCTAGAAGACACAGAGATCCTGTGAGGAGAGCTGAAATTACCTTAGTGAGGATGGGGGAAGTGGCCAAGGGTGAGGCCAGTAAGGAGGGCTCTGTCTGCCAAGAGGAGGGTGTACAACTGTGCTCTGTAGACCCCCTAGCAAAGGGCTTATCACAAGATGTCAATTCTATGTTTTAGAAAGATCTTTCAGGCAACAGTGAAGAGGATGATTGAAAGGGGAGGGAGTGGCTGAGGAAGGATCAGGACTTCTCACAGAACTCTCATAGTTTAGGAGAGGAAGCAGGATCCAAAGGAGCACCTCAGGGAGAGCCATCAGGACAGGGACTGCAATCAGGGGACAGTGATAGAATAGAATGGACAGAAGGAATAACAGAATTATTCTATTCCATCTGACTGAGATGACCAGAGAGAGACAACAAATTATTGTGGTTTCAGAGATAAGAATTAAGTTTTACCAAGTTGGACAGACCAAAACTTCTCTTTAAAGGGATGTATTTCAAGTTTACACCACAAAGGATACAGACAGGAAACGACGAAATGGTTTGCTAACTTCTGGAAGTCTAGAACTATGCACTACCTCTTGAAGTTCCAATAAAAGGAGAATGCATAAAGTCATCATACAGATTTTTCTGAAATACTACTTTATCCCATTGCCTGAGGCCCCAAACCTGTCAGATGTTCCTGCTAGTGACAGGGTAGGGGCAAAACATTTTTCCTGTCCACGGCATGACTGACTCACCATTCTAACTTCATTTTTTCTCCACAGTAGAAACCCTCTGCTCTAGCCAAGAGAAACCATGAAGTCTGCTCTAGCCAAGAGAAACCATGAACCTGGGCCCACCTACACCTTTCCATCTTCACCTCTCTGCCTGTCAGGAATCACTGTGCCTGCCTCTCCATATGCCTTCATCCAGTTTGTACTTCAAGGTCCAGATGAAATCCTATCTCTTCCAGAAAGTCTTCCTTCATCACCATAATTTGAAAGGATCTCTTCTTGCATTTTAAAAATTAATTGTCCTTACTACTATTCATTCATACCCTGTCTTGTATTGTTATATTTTCATAAGCCCTGTATCTGTCACTCCAACTAGATGATAAACTCTTTGAGGCTGGTATCTATTGCTGCATAACAAACTACCCAAAATTCAGTGGCTTAAAATTCATCCATTTTGCTATATCTCCTGATTTCATGGGACAGGAAACTCAGCTGGACAATTCTATTTCATGTGGAGTCTATAGTGGTCATGCAGTGGTATTTAGTCTACACTAGTCTATACTAGCAAGGAGGGTACAAAACCTAAGCCTGACATTTAAGATCCCCCATGATCTGCCTCTACCTTTTACAGAATGATTAGTATAAACAAGACACCAGGTCTTGCACTGTTGTCCAGAGTGGGGTGCAGTGGCTCAATCCTATTTCACCATGACCTCAAACTCCTGGGCTCAAGCAATCCTCCTGCCTTAGCCTCCTGAGTGGTTAAGACTACAGGTGTGCACCACTACACCTAGCTAATTTTAAAAAAATGTCTTGGAGAGAAGGGGCCTCCTTATGTTGCCCAGGCTGGTCTTGAATTCTTGGCCTCAGACATCCTCCCACCTCAGCCTCCCAATGTACTGAGACTGTATGTGGACATGAGCTACCACACCTGACCTCTATCAATTCTATTTATCCTATTTAGCCCATGAGCCTTTCTTGCTCCTACCCAGGGAAATGGTACTTTGTACCATGATGAAATGGTACATCAACTGTACCATATATTCTACTTAATAATGTAGCTTGAGGGTATGATTAGCTCCCTAACTGACTTTGAGAGATACAAGAGATATGAGGACTGTGTCTTGTTGTGTTCCTAACCCCAATTATCTGTGCATGGTACAGAGTAGATGCTCAATAAACATTAGAATAAACAGAAAAATTAACTTTAGGGAAAGAATATATATGGGTGGACAGAATCTTGAGGCACAAAACTGGGTGGGATCCAGGATATAGAAAAATAGAAGCATCAATTTGTCAAAGGAAGAGGAACACCCCCTCCTTTGGGAGGAACTGAAGATACCCTGGCAGGATGGAAATAGGACTGCGTATGGGGAAAGGTGAAAGTGTCCAAATCCAAGTCCCAACTCAAATGAGGTGAGCTCAATCCCTTTGGATCTTTCTGGATTTTCTACCTTTTAGAATGTTTATTTGTATCGTTAAATAAAATTTATAGAAGGCCACTGGTTTGTACTGAGCTCCTGCACTGGGCCCAACAGAACATACCAAATGGACTTACCCTTGCTGAAGCTTGATACTGCCAAGCCAAAACTAAGCTATTCATTTGATTTTTTTTTTTTCAAAAAAATCGAAGTTGGATGCAGAGGCTCATGTCTGTAATCCCAGCAATTTGGGAGGCAGAGGCCAGTAGATTGCTTGAGCTCAGGAGTTGCAGACCAGCTTGAGCAAGAGTAAGACCTCATCTTAACTAAAGATAGAAAAATGAACCGGTCGTTGTGGTGGGAGCCTATAGTTCCAGCTACTCCGGAAGCTGAGACAGGAGGATCATTTGAGTCCAAGAGTTTGAGGTTGCTGTGATGATACCATGGCACTCAACCCCAGGGCGACAGAGTAAGACTATTTAAAAAAAAAAAAAATCGAGTGCCCGTCAGAGCGAGAAGTCATATCGCCCCTCTGCTTTAACTTTTACAAGTCAAATAACCTAGAATTGACCAATTGGCTTCTTCTATTTCTCCTTTTCTCAGCCCTTTTCTGTTACCCTTCTCTGCTCACAAAAGCCAGTTAAGATCTATAACTAAATTAGTTGAGATTTTTGTCTTTTGACAGCGTACGTATCTTAATTTCCTTCTCTAGACCGCAACCTCTCTGAGGGCAGGAGAAACCCGGTTTTCCTCACATCACACCTAATTACCACCCATCCAACGTGGAGCTGTTGGGTAGATGAATAGGAATGCGGGAAGGTGGGCAGGCGAGTGAGTGGACAAATTCAAGACAGGAAAATCTTGTGCCAGGTAATCCAGTGAAGAATGACATCTCCAGATCCACAATCAAAGGGTTGAAATCGTACCAACAAGGAACCTCCTCACGCTCTCCAAAGCAGGTAGAGCAGAAGTGCGCGGCTTGCCTTCAATTCTGCTGAGGACCTCTCGTCAGTACTCCGTGACTATCCTTTGCAATGCCTGATTCTATCCTGAAGCTAGCCGTGGGCAAAAACCTACACTGTCTTAACCGCCACGTGAGGCCAAGCCTCTGTGCACACTTATCCGTCTGTTGCCGCTCTCGTTTCACGTTTCCCTTCTTCGATCTCGCAATCGCCGCCAGTAAGGCGCGCGTGCGGGCAGCCCTGGAGGGGAAGGGAAGAAGGGTCCTGCGACCGGAAACAGGAAGCCGGAAGTGGGGGCTGTGAGGACGTGTTCGAGGAATCCGGAGCCGGCGCGACCGGCGAGATGGAGCCGCTGTACCAGCAAACGCACAAGTGAGGGCCGCCTAGGGGAGCAGGGGGTGGGGTGGGGTGGGGTAGGCTAGGCGAGGCCGGTCCCCGGGGCTGGGGCCTCGGACGTCCTTAGCTGTAGAGCCCGAGTCCTTCTGCCCGGGAACTGCCGGGGGTAGTTCAGAAGTGCTTAATCCCTGGCAGGATGCCTTGATCAGACGCGGACAGTGGGGCCAGCCTGGGGCCCAGAAACAGTGAACAGAGGGCTACCGAGGTCTGCAGGTCGGTGATTACCTGCTAAGTAAACAGAGTGGAGGGAAAGCTGTACCTGCACTTTGTCCAGCAACTGCCAACTCGGTACTCTAGGTTGGTAGAGCTGGTGGGGAGACAAGAAGTAGGAGACATGGCCCCTGCCGATAAGAGTTTACTATTTAGTTGGACTGTTAAGGCCCGTACAAAAAAATTTTTTTTATTTCTGTTTGATTTATACTAAGGACCATATTTTTATGGTGCGAAGAAATTACTGTACAAGTGGCATTCATTATTATTAGTTGTTAATCATATCTGGTTACAGATTACCTTTAAGGAAATCAAATTTTCGTTTAGCAGAGCTTCTCATAATTTAAATTCCTTGGTAGTGTCCTTTATTCATAGTGTTCTGCCTTTTTGGAACTTGCTGAGATATTTTGTTGGGTATGGTAATACAGGTTATACTTAACCTAGTTTTATGATTTTTTTTTTAATTTTAAGATTTGTTCTTATTGTAAAATACACATACAATATGAAATTTACCATTTTAACCATTAAGTATACAATTCAGTGATGTTAAGTACATTCATAATTCACATCACCACTATTTCCAGAACTTTTTCATCATCCCAAAGAGATACTCAGTCTATACTTATTAAATCATAACTCCCCATTCCTCCCTTCCAGATCCCCTAGTAACTTCTTCTACTTTGTGTTTATAAATTTACCTCCTCTACATACTTCATGTAAGTGGAATTATACAGTGTTTGTCCTTATTTCACTTAGCATAATGTTTTTAGATTTATCTATGCTGTAGCATGTATCATCAAGATTTCATTCCTTTTTATGACTGAATAATTTTCCATAGTGTGTGTACGTAAGTCATTACGAAGGTTTTGAGGGACACCAAAATCAAGAAATGTAAAATCCACGCAGACAGAAACAAATGAAGCCCTCTCAGTAACATGTATAAAACAAGCAAGTTAAAACTTGGACTTGTGAATCAGAAGGGATGCTGTTGGCTGTGTTTCTTTGAAGTGAAATAAGGAGCCATAACACGGTCTGGCTCAGAAATTTCACAGTGCCCCATGTCTATCACATCTTGTTGTCCATTCATCTGATGATAGACACTGGGTTTTTTCACCTTTGGCTATTGAGAACAATGCTGCTATCAATTCTGATAACTAAACTATGTTTTAGTTATTGTTTACAATTTTTTGAGGTATATACCTGTCCTATTTTAAAAACTTTCAAATTTATGCTATGGTTCTGGTCTGATGAAGACATTTAAAATTATACTCCCAGGGCCTGGAAATGAAACAAAATAGGCCTCAGCCTCCCTAATGAATTGACAAAAAACAGAAGGTTTTAGAGTGTTAGTAATAAGAGGATGATGATCCTCTTACTCTTTTCTAAGTTGAGTGATTTCTTTCTTTTTACTTTGGCAATGAAGTGTTTGATTTAGGTGGGCGAAAATACAAAACCTACTTTGTGATGACAGAATTTGTTTTTACATTGGGGAGCCCTCTTCTCATAGAAATTACAGGAAGGGATTTAAAACCAGTTTGTAAATCATTGGGGAAAGGAGTAAAACAGAAAATATGCTCATGTTGCTAAGAAAAGGCAGATCTTTTACAAGAGCAAGGCATAGTTGGCTAATAGTGCCTGAAAGTTCATCTGTTATTTATGGTCTTATCTGGCTAGTTAATTTGGTTAACCAATTAGTTGCCAATGCCAGGACCCAGTTTATTTTTAAGAATTTTGTTCCAGGAGTCTCAGATTGTACTTATTATCATTGTACTAGCTAGCTAATTACAGAGAAATCTGTCTAGCTCAGAAGAGGAATACTAAATGGTACCCCAAATAAGATTATCATGGAGTGTAGATGATCTATTTGCCTCTGTAGGTCACAAGAACCCACCTCAGACTCAAGCAGGGTGTGCCACCTTTTTCTGTCAAGGACCAGATAGTAAATGTTTTAGGCTCTATGGACCATACAGTCTCTGAAGCAACTGCTCAACTCTGCTGTTATAGGAGGAAAGTAGCCTTAGACAGTATGTAAACTAATTGACAAGACTGTGCTCATAACATTTGTAAAAACAGCAGTAAGCCAGTTTTGCCCCACCATTAGGCCCTCTACTACCCAGTCACTCTTTCATTCAATGATTACTTTTTGAGCACCTACTGGGTATTAGGTACCATTCTTGGTGCTGGTAGCACCGCCCTGCCCTTCAGCTTACCTTCTTTTATGCCCCCAATATGTTACTGTCTGCCTTTCCTCTCAAGTACCAGGAGTGAAAGTTCTGGTTCAAGATTTCCTTGCTTTGTTTTCTCTCATGTGTAAAACAGTCGTTTGGGCTGCTTTTAGCTCCATAACACTGGCGATCAAGTGTCTTTCAGAGGAAACACGTGGAATCCTGTGAGTATCAGCAATTAACTTTTGCACCTTGCAGAAATTAATGGTTGTAGCTGAGTTGACACAACAGTAACTGAACATATTAATTTTACTGGAACTTTGAACCCATATTGTGGTTATCTTTTGTTGTGTTCCTGAAAGTACATTGGAATTAGATCAGCATTTTAAAGTTGTGTATCTTGAAAATTCCTGAACTATGTGAACAATGAATGAAGAGGAAAAAAGATAAAAAATAGTTAACATTTTACCCTCAAATAGTATTTCAGTAAGGTTAACTTTATAGAGGAGCTAATAGTTAAGCGTCTATTTTTGAGATCCCAGTGATTGTAAAGTTGCCCACATTTGGCCCCTATGTAGTTCCCTATCCCAAACCTTATCTGTAGAGATTCTGGCTCAGTAGGTCTGGGGCACAAGAAGCTCTGGATTTATTATAACAAGCTCTTCAGGTTATTTTGGAACAGCTGGGTTTACAATCTGTTGCCTTATCTCAAGACCAATTTTTCCTTTTTCAATTTTGCCCTCTGACCGGGTAAAGGCTAAATACAGAGGCAAAGTGGGTACAATGAAAATGACCAGATGGTTGCCACTACTTTTAAGTAAAGTTAAGTAAAAACAGCAAACTTAAGTGATGTTATATAGGTTACATAGCATTTCTGTATATAATTGGATTTATAACTCATTAAATAATTGTTAGTACCTCTATTTTAAAGTTGAGGAGACTGAGGTACCAAGGAATTAAATGATATGCTCAATGTCCCTAAGCTTGTGAGCTTGTGTATAGAACTAGACCCAGATCTTTTAACTCCAAAACCTTGTTTCCTGCTCACGGTAGTCAGAAGCAGCATGGATGCAAAGTGAGGCATAGGGTGGGGGAATATGGACTTTAAAAGCAGTTCCATTTAAAAATCTTCCTACATTTTCTGTGAATCTTTTCAGAAATCAGCAACAGTGACCCTAGAGTTCTTCCTACTAGTTCTCTTTTTGGTTATGTTTGTCACCTAAGCTTATCATGGACTGTGCTAGACAGGGTTAAAATTTCTTTTTTTCTTTGTTTTTCTTTTTTTTAGAGACAGAGTCTCACTTTGTCATCCTTGATAGAGTGCTGTGGTATCACAGCTCACAGCAATCTCCAGCTCTTGGGCTTAGCCAATTCTCTTGCCTTAGCTTCCTGAGTAGCTGGCACTACAGGTACCCACCACAATGCCCCACTATTTTTTTGGCTAGGGCCGGGTTTGAAGCCACCACCCTTAGTGTATGGGGCTGGTGCCCAACTGAGTGAGCTACAGGTGCTGCCCTAAAATTTCTTTTTTCTAATGTTCACACTCCCAAGTCCTACTTGTGTATCTATCACCTATTCCTTATTGGCTTTAAGTATATTGTTGTTATTCCCAGCTCATTTTGAAACCAATTTTCTACTTGGCATATTAGTACTTCCCACTCTGCCATTCACACTTGCTTTGTTGTTTTGCATTATTTCTTCTTAACATGAAATGTGAAGATTGGAATCACTGTATTGGCTATATGTGTGTATTTTCTCTATTAATTCAACCCAAATAGAAATTGGATGGGAAAAAGTAGATTATGGGCCTGTACAAAAGTGCCTTGATGAACATCCCTAGCCCATGGTTTCCTCCTTAATGTATGCCAGCGTCTCTCTAGGACATGTCTGTAGAAGTAGAATGCTAGGTCATAGGACAGGTGCATATTTGATTCTACTAGTTATTATTAGAAAGCTACTAAAGTATTTTACCAGTTTATAATCCTAACAATCAAGTATGAGAGTTCTAGTCTCCCTATACCCTTGTCAATGTGTGTGTTCTCAAGCTTTAAAATATGTGTCAGTTTGATGGGGAAAACATGCTGTCATCGTTTTGGGGGGCAGGTATTTTTTTTGTTGTTTTTTTTTAATAAACAGCGTCTCTCACTCAGTCACCATGTTGAAATGCAGTGGCATGATCCTCAAACTCTTAGGCTCAAGTGATCCTCTTGCCTTAGTCTCCTGAGTGGCTAGAACTATAGGCGTACAGCACCAGGCCCAGCTAAATTATTTAATTTTTTTATATGAGATTAGGTCTTGCTGTTTTGTCCAGGCTGGTATTGAATTCCTGGCCTCAACTGAGAAAATGACATGAAGGCTGTGTTGACCAGTTTGATGGAAGTATTTCAGATTGCATGTGAAAACCCCACACTGTACCCCAGAAGTGCATTAATGTACATAGTTACCATTCAATAAAAAAAAAAAAAAAAAAAAAAATTCCTGGCATCAAGTGATCCTCCTGCCTTGGCCTCCCAAAGTGCTGGAATTAAAGGCATGAGTCATTGTTGCCTGGCTGATGTCATTGTTTTTAATTTGTGTTTTCCTAGTAGAATGTCTCCATGTATTTACTTATTTATTTATTGACCATTTGGGTTTCCTTTTCTGTCATTTGCTGTTTCCCTACTTTTTTTTTTTTGAGACAGAGTCTCACTTTGTCACCCTTGGTAGAGTGCATGGCGTCACAGCTCACAGCAACCTCAAACTCTTGGGCTTAAGTGATTCTCTTGCTTCAATCTCCCAGGTAGCTGGGACTACAGGTGCCCACCACAACACCCGGCTATTTTTTTGTTTCAGTTGTCATTGTTTTTAGCAGGCTAGGCTGGGTTTGAACCTGCCAGCCCTGGTGTGTGTGATCAGTGCCCTAACCACTGAACTATGGGCGCCGAGCCTGCCCTTTCCCTACTTTTAAAAATTTTTAATTTTTTTTCTTTCCCCGTTCTTTAATAAATTGCTGTTTGACTTACTAACTTGTAGAAATTTTGTATGTATTCTGGACATCCACCCTTTATTACCTGCTGTAGATATCTTCTGATCTGTGCCATCTTTTTATTTTCTGTGGTACATTTGGTGGAAAGAAATTTTTTTGTTTTTATGTAGTCACATTTATCAGTCTTTTCTTTTGTACTTTGTGTGTTTAGCAGGGTAGGTTGGTTTTTGTCTTATTTGAGAAATCCTCCTTTAACCTGAGGTCATTTATGCGTACCTATATTTTCTTCAGAAAGTTTAAAAGCCCTTTTTTTTACATTTATATTTAAACCATCTTGAGTTTTATTTTTGTGTGTTACCTGAGGTGTCTTTTTTCTATGCTAATAACAAACAGAGCGGCAGCATTTATTGTCCTCCACTCTATTCTAACTGGTTTATGTCACTAGGTTTCCAAATGTGGGACTGTTTCTGGTCTCCATTCTTTCCTCCTGGGTCAGGATTAGGGTTTGTCTTTCCCTGTCTGTTTGTACCTGCACTGCTGCCATACTGTTTTGATTATTATGGCTTTGTAATAATAAGTCTAAATAGCAGATGGGACAAGTCATTCCTCTTCACACTTCTTCAGAGTTGTCTTGACTATTCTTTGTCCCTTTCCCCCACCTTCTTATCTTAGTGTATTGCTGTTCTATTTGTAATGCTACCAACTTTGAGATTTGCTCTGTTAACTCACTGAAAATTTGCCTCACAGAATACATCCAGGCCTCTTTTCCATTGGTGCTACCATCCAGTCCTCTGTTCCCATGGTTGCCCTGGTCCAAATGTTGGTCACCTCAAGCTGCATTCCTCTGTCAGCCCATGTGCCTCCATGTCCCCTCATCCCAAAGTACCCTGGACTTACCTACCTTACTGAAGTAGCAGTCTGTTCTCACAGACTCTAGTAGTAATTTCTAGTTGCTTCTTGGCCCCACAAGTCTTGCCTAGGAGCACCTCAGAAGTCATTTGACGGCTGGCTTAGCTGCTTCTGGTGCCCTAGGTCATGTTTAGAGGCCATAGGGAGGCCCTGGACAGATTAGACACAGGTTGAAACCAAATTTGAGTACCTTGCTGGCATTGGTAAATTTGAGGTCATGGTTTGTAGTGCTCACACTGGAGAGAGGTTACTCACCTTTGCCTCCAGAGTTGGGGCTGATGGAGAGTTCAGTAGGCCCTTTTCGGGTGGGCTTGATGTGGGGAGACCTCCACTGTAAGCACCAGGAGGCAGTTGCCAGGGCCCCATAAGCAATATCCCAAGGACTGATTGTGGGGCACCACTGGGAAAGGTTCTGAGGGCGACCTTGGCCAAGCCTGGGAAACCTCAAGACAGTGCTCTACTGCCTGGTGTCTGGGAACATGCCAGTGGTTCAGGGTACAGGGTTGCATTTCCAGTGAACAGCCGTGAAAGCTGTTTACTAAACAGGAGATCCCTATCTCTTAGGGCCCTCCTCTGAATGGTTTCCTCCAAGTAATCGCCTCATCTTCCTCTCCCCTCTGACCTGCAAGCAGCCCAACCTGCTTATAATCCACACGACATGCCTTGATGCCTTTTTCATGTCCTTTTCTTCCTACTCTTCCTTCTTCCTTCAAAGGATAAATAAGTTGGTGAAGGAAGAGTAGGAAGAAAGCTCTGAGGGAGTGCTGAGAACTCCCTCTGTCCTCAAACTTCCCTAGCTTGCTCTTTCTCAGCCCTAGCCCTTCTGTTTGCTTGCTCAGCACCACCTCCTCAGCTTTCTGTTTGTTTACACTTAACCTGTGTTGGTTTTCTCCTAAATCTTCCTGGGCTTTTTCATGTCTATCTGGCCTGTCATTCCTAATTACATTGTTTCACAGGGACAAGGATTGTATCTCTCTCGCCCTTTGACTCTTCCAAATACAGACTAGTGCTCAGCACATTGGGTCATAGAACAGAGTGTAAGATTGTTTGGGTCCAGTTTGAGGTTTATCACTGGTGTGACCTCGAACAAGTTATATAACCTTTCTTGTCCTCAGTCTTATAAAATGAGGATGATAATAGTACTTTCTTCATAGGATTATTGACTTAGCAGTGTATCTTGGACATGGTAAGCACACAGTAAATGCTGCCTATCAATATTATTATTAATATTAGCATTAAGATAGAAACCATGCCAAAATGTGTGGCCTGAAGTGCCACATAGAAATTTTACAGTTCAGTGATATTGTCAATTTAAATCAGTTACATGTTGGCATCAGAAAAATGGTTTTTCCTGACTGAAGTGCTGTTGATTACTCCTGTCTCACTCATTTCCTCCCTCTTCCTTTGATAGGCAGGTCCACGAGATCCAGTCTCACATGGGACGCCTGGAGACGGCAGACAAGCAGTCTCTGCACTGTGAGTAATTAACTATGGAGACCAGAGTCCTTTCTCTGATGACACGGTGCTAATGGGCTGGGTTTCCTGACTGCACTCTGCCTCCGGGGCTTAATGATTTAGCGTGGAATGAGTTTTGTTCGGGTGGACAGAAAGACCCCATGGCAAAGTCACTGATTTCCTGATTGTGCCCTTTGGAATCCCACAAGTCTTATCCCCCATTACCCCTCCACTCAACCTGACATGGCCCTATGGGAATGGAGGCTCTTTCCTCCATCTGTCTTAATCTAATTACCTAGTCCTTGGAGGAATGTACTCCATAAAAATTCAGAGATGTTTAACTGAAATTGGCCATTTCTTCTGAGCTAAGAACTGTGGCTTTTTAGGAGGATTATTCAGAAACAAAGAGCATTATTAATTAGTTTAGTTCCCACACCATGGTTTCTTCTGAAAAGTATGCTGGTTTTTTGTGTTTTTTTTTTTTTTTTTTTTTTTTTTTCTATTCTAGGAAAAAGGTCCTTTTTCTGAGTCAGCTGTGCGGACACCACCTGCAGAGGCTGTCTTCCCACCTCCCTGCTTGCCTGTCGACCGGCCCATCTTTCTTGTTCTCTCTTGTCTCCTTTTACAGCTTCAAAAGCATCTCTTTTCTTGGTTCTATGCCCCACCTTGTTCTGATCTAAGCTGCTTTTGTTAGCTGTGGGCGCAAAGGCCTACAAGGGGCAATCCCACTGCTGCCACTTCTTTATGGGGCAAGAAGCAGCCTGGATGCTTTCTTCTGTGCGCAGTTTAGTTTCTTTAATTGGACTTTGTTTGCTTTCCCAGCAATCTCATTGCTTCTTGATTAGAAATGGAAAAGAGGTCATCTTAGGTCATTTTGACTGTCTTATCAAAAGGGATAAGGAAAATGACCATATTTATCATATCTTTTTACCTCTGTGGATTCTTTCCTGGGCCTTCCCTATCGATAATTTGGTCTATTTTGGGGACTCTAGCATTGCTCAGCCCACCCATTCTTACAGAAAGCATTAACGGAATGCTTCTCTGTATGTTTCACATACTAATTTTTCCTTTCCTTTGTGCTTTTTTTGTTAATTTCATGCTGTAGGGAATCAGTTGGCAGTCTTTTGACTAGGTATTTATAATCCATATCTGAGAACAGTCTCAAAGGCAAAGAAACCTAGATCAGGAAATTTAAGTTAAAATGTTTGGACAACCTTTAAATGTTCATTTTCTTTTCTAAAGATAGGAAAACTTATTTCTACAGATTTACCTTTAGATTTTTTTAAATGTTGGCATTATTGTGGTATTAGCAGCTATATATATATTTGTAGAAACATTTGCAGTATACCTTGAATTTTTTTTTCATTCATTAATGTGTATATTTTTTTTCCTTTTGACTATGTGTTTTTTAGTTTAATACGGAAAAAATATTTATGATTTCTTATTCTAATTTGAATTCACTATCTCTTTTCCAGCAATTATTCTTTTTTCTCTTTTGTGCAGTAGTAGAAAACGAAATCCAAGCAAGCATAGACCAGATATTCAGTCGTCTAGAACGTTTGGAGATTTTGTCCAGCAAGGAGCCCCCTAACAAAAGGCAGAATGCAAAACTGTGAGTATTGACCTCTGACACGGCTCTGATACCCCAGCCTGTCAAGACAGGCCTTTCTCCCAGGGGAGGCTATAGAATATTCTGACAATGCAAGGATAAAGTTCTCCAGAAGGGCACGGTTCTATCTGAGCGATACCCCCTCAAAATAAAAAAACCTGTATGAGGTTTGTGGCACAGAAGGCTTGTATCCCCTTATGTCTTTGGTGTCGTTTTGAAATTTTGTCTCCAGTTCTGTTTTTTTTGTTTTTTTTTTTTAACCAGATTCATAGCTTCATGAAGCCTAACGGTGCCAAGGAATTTTGCTCTGCTATTTGGTTCTCACTGGGCTCATTTTGGGTTGAAATGAAGTCTTGTTTTTAATCACTTTAGCCAGTTTATTTATAATAAAATACTGATCTAATGTTTGATACTCCACCATAAAATTAAAATGAAACCACCCTTACCACCTCTATCCCCAGCCCCTGCTTTTTAAGGTTTATGAAACTTCACTGATGCTTTACCTCAAAGATGCCCTTGGGCTTCTTCCTGGGGAGTGATATAATCCATAGAAGGTCAGGAAGAGGTCATCGAACCTGGTTCCTGTCACCTGTTCCCTGTCATGCATCCAGAATCAGAGTCAACAGATACTTAAGTAAAGCAGCTAGAATCTTGTGTGCTACAACCTCTCTTTAACCACGAGCTACTTTACTATCAATATCATTGATCAAAATCAGATCTGTATGGGGAGAAAGTGCGGTGTAGTGCAGGGAGAGGTAAGGAAACCATCCTCTGAATACACAGCCTGGCTGCCTCACATTGTGCTGCCCTGCGTTCCTGGAATTTAATCTCTCTCTCCATCAATTCTAGTCGTGTCGACCAGTTAAAGTATGATGTCCAGCACCTGCAAACTGCTCTGAGAAACTTCCAGCATCGGCGCTATGCAAGGGAACAACAAGAGAGACAGCGAGAGGAGCTTCTGTCTCGTTCCTTCACCACTAATGTAAGCCAGGCACGTGGTGGGGGTCTCCAGGCCCTCAGCAGATCTTGGGGCCTGGACCTTAGGTCTCTGAGCGTCATCTTTTTCAGAGGTGTCCAAAGCCTACTGGTGAGAAGGAAACCAACTGAAAATGACAGTGGGCTTTGTGCATTGCCACAGATTCTAGACCTAGACAGGCAATTTCTTTCTCTAATCTAAAAATATGAAGAGGAAGCAGTTAAATAGAAAGAATGAGCAGTGGTGAAAATTACCTGGTTGGACTGGTCTGATGCAGAGAGGTGGACATTCACATGGCAGAAACATTTTTCTGATCAGATAGAGACTGATGATTAGAACTTACACTATTTGTAGGGAAAAGCTGCATTTCACAGCTGTCTTAGGGCAGTTGCTATTGTGCCGTGTATGTGTGTGGTTCCAGTGTCAGATGCATTAAACTGTTTTTGCCCTAGTCTGAGCAGCAACTTGGAGGAATTTGTTAACAGATATTTAGGGTTAGGTGGACTGCTTGATTTGAATCTGTTAGAACTCACTGTCCCTGCCTTCAGTTGCAGTAGTATCATTTCCTGCACATGGTTTAGAACATACTGGCTTTTCTGTGCGTCCTGCATAACCTATTCCACCAAATGAGACGGATTTCATTTTTTTATATTTTGTTTTTATACAGAGAGGTTTGTTTTCTAAGAGATTTTAGCTTTCTGAGCCTGTCATTAGAATTCATATCATTTCCCACTTTGCAGATGTTTAATTCTCATTATTACATCTATGCTTTGCAGTAAGTAAATTTCCCCACGTGTTTCAGAATGTGTCTACGTAATTTTTATTTCTCCAGAATAGACAGTCAAGTCACAAGGTCTAATAATTCTGAAATGATAAGAACAAACCATAAGACACAATTAAGAGATGTTGTGTGGTCTTTACATACATATGAAAAGTGATTCTGCCAGGAGTGGGGAATCTGTGGCCTTCTGATTTAAGCACCAAAGGAGGCACACTTTAGGGAGAAGCACCTGACTCAGCCTCCAGAGTACTAGGATACCCCAGCAGATGGAGGCCTTTCATCAAAAGTGGAGAGGCGAGGCACGGTAGCTCACACCTGTAATCCTAGCACTCTGGGAGGCTGAAGCAGGTGGATTGCTTGAGCTCAGGAATTTGAGACCATCCCGAGGAAGATCAAGACCCTGTCTCTACTAAAAATAGAAAAAATTAGCCAGGCGTCATGGTAGATGGAGGCTGAGGCAAAGAGGATTGCTTGAGCCCAAGAGTTTGGGGTGGTTGTGAGCTATGATGATGCCACAGCACTCAACCCAGGGCAACAGAGTGAGTCTCTGTCTCAAGAAAAAAAAAAAAGATTTGGTCTATAAAATATGAATTCAGTCCAAAGGCTGCACTTAAGGACTTAGAAAGCCACAAGTTTCCTTAAGGTTGCAGGTTCACTACACCTTGGCAGGAGAGTTTATGATCATCTGGAGGCAGGAAAGCAAGGAGAACACTATTACAGCTGGTAATGACGTGCTCCTGTCTACAGTGTCAAATGAGAGTCACCAGGATTAGTCTTGGTGCTTCTCTCTACCAGTGTGGTTAAGAGGGCAAACCTTACACTCAGTACCCAGATTCTTGTCCTGGTGGATTTCTTACCAGCTATGTGCTTTTGGAAAAGTTATTTCACTTCTCTGGGCATCAGTTTCTTCATCTGTAAAATGGGGATAATTAGAGTAACTACTTGAGAAATTGGGGATTCAGTGACTTTAGGGTGATGCCGCTGTAAAGTGCAATGCACTTGATCAGTATTAGTTGTTTCTCTCTTCATTTCTTTAGCAAATTTTTCCTGCCTGCTCAGGAGAATACATCTCATCCTAAACACTGTTAGACCTTCAGTAAAAAGCACCATCTTTTCTATCCTTTGTATGTCTCGCCTACTGGAGAGATAAGCTGTAGATAAAATAGCTAAAGAACAAAAACAAACATTTATTACTGTATTAAGGCGAAACCAAGTAAAGGAATATTCACAGCAATCTAGGTTAGTGAGTATCAAAGAAAGTCTTCAGAAAATTCCAATGAGGTCTTGAAGGAATAATATTTCCCAACTGGGGATAATGATAACTGAAGGGAATTAAGAATGCTTGCATAGTGGCACTCATTTGGAGAGTAGCAACTCTGGGGAAAGTTCCTCCTCTTTTGTGTGAACAGAGACCACTCCAGATTTTTGCTTTGCTTTTTCTTCTGTTAGATTCCTGTGATTCTTATACCATTCCCTCTCCTGTTCTTCTGACTTGGCCTTGGCCTGGGCCAGTCAGACCCCAGGACACCTCCAACTCTACCAAGCAGAGTTAATCAAGTGCCTGCATTTCTTTCACAGGACTCTGACACCACCATACCAATGGATGAATCACTGCAGTTTAACTCCTCCCTCCAGAAAATTCACCACGGCATGGATGACCTCATTGGAGGCGGGCACAGTATTCTGGAGGGACTGAGGGCCCAGAGACTGACCTTGAAGGTGGGGTCCCTACTGGGGGACAGGGAGAAGGCCTCTTGCTTTGGCTCCATCCAACAGTTTGGTACCTGTGTTACATTTTGATTGCATGTCCTCAAATTGTGATATTTTGATAACACAGCAGAGTTCTTGAATTTTGAATCCTCCATGTTGGAGTTGATTTATTGTGAGCCTAAAAGGAACCAATTCCTTTGCCAGTGTATGGAACAAACCATAAAGTGGCCTCTCTTGGTTTCCAGGTCTTTTCTCATTTATTGAACTTAGCCAAAAGTGACTGCTACTACAAGGGGAATGAATAATAGGCTGAGACATTTTGTATAGCATCTACTGTCGTATGAGCAAAGACGTGGCTATAGTTTGCTAGTTCACTCCAAGTTGATTTTCCCTGGGGGTCCCTCCTGTGGACTGCCTTATAACCACCATCTTTTTGTACTTTGGTAGCTGAATCTCCATGGGAAGAGTCTTTGGTAGGCGATAGCTTCTTGAGCACCAGGTGGTGATCACCAGAGACTCTCTTTTTAGCCCCAGGTATTTCCAGAAGCCTTGCCCTGGTGGCACTGCTGAGACTCCGGCTTCTGGGAGTGGTTTACAGAAACATTACACAGACTGATGTCAGACACGATGTTTCAGCCTCAGCCCTTTTCCTGTATCAGCCCTGATGGATAATGGGGTGTGTACTCTGGCTGTTATCAGGGTGTGGTCCCCTGTGAACGAAGTACTCCCAGCCACTGAGCTGTGAGAAACAGTCACTCGGAAGTGTGAGCTTTAATCTTAGTTTTTGTTGGACCATGTTGAGCTTGTCAGCTCCATGGGACGTCAGTACATTTCTGAACAGTCCTTGCCATCTTTACTAGGGAGAGGGTCAGGCAAGTGCAGGTGACACTTGCCTCCTGCTGACAGTTGCAGTGTTTCAGATGGCCTGGAAGGGTGGTGTCTGGCGACCTGCAGGGCAGGCCCCTTTCATAAGAGCCCCCTGCAGTGATCTGACACGATACGTGTTGATTAGCCTGCCCTCTCTTTAGGAAACTGCTGCTCTCCTTCCACATATCTCAAAAGCAGCAGAACCCTTCTAGGACAGCACTCCGTGTCACACTGATGAAGAGCCAGTGGGGGTTAGAGCTGATTGTTGAAGCACATGCTAGTTTCCTACTGAAGTCAGGCAGCACTGAGGAGTCCATGCACCTCCTGCCACCCACTTTGTTGTCAGAGGTGAAGTGCTAGGAGGCTGTCGAGGTGCTCAGGGCTTGAGACCTGAGGTTTCTAATTCTGTTTCCTCTGTTTTGCCTCCCTCCCTGCCTCCCACCCCACCTCTGTCAGGGAACTTTCCAGCTGAGCCATCTCAAGGAATACAGGAGAAGGCATGAAGGAGCTAGGCTGAAGTGCCCTGATGGTGGGCCAATTTATGGTAGAAAATGAATACATTTCTGGATATTTGTGGTCATTTTCAGGTAATTTAGAAGCTTGGTCCTTAACCTCACATAGTGATGAAATAATCTGCACATTCAGAGCCAAGCAAGTCTTTAGAGAGAGTATAATTTTTACTGTCACCATTGTGGAAAGAGAACATTTCTCTGGTTTCCTCTGACAGCAATCAAGTTTGACTTGCAATCTCTCTTGATGAGCCTTGTTAGTTGCTGTCTAGTGGACTGTAGGCTTTGAAGTCCATGTCCATAGTGCCTTGTGTGGTTCTCATCCCCCAGCCTCTTTTCTCAGTTGCTCATTAGTGTGAGTTCATTGAAAAGGTGGACGTGGGTGGGGCATCAGGTTAGATGTTACAGTGGCAGTGCAGTTGGTGACATATGTAGGAGTAACTCCAGATCTGCACAGCATTCGTTTATACTTGCTATTTCGTGAGAAATTAGATGTGCTTAAAGATGAAAATTAGAAAGCGTTGAGGGAGGACAGGCTGAATGGCTTGGGCTTTTGGTTTAGGAGTAAAATACCCGTCTGTTTTGGTTGTGGGTGGGGACATTTATATAAGGAGTTTTAGGTCATCGTGTTGGTATTTCTGTCTTTCCATCTTTTCACACTTCGAATCCTCTCTTAAACATGGACTTCAACGTATACATTGTACTCAGTAGCTTCCCCAAAGATTCTCCTCTACAAAGTGAATAATAGGTTGAAGCCGGGCGCGGTGGCTCATGCCTGTAATCCTAGCACTCTGGAGGGCTGAGGCGGGTAGATTGCGCGAGCTTAGGAGTTCAAGACCAGCCTGAGCAAGAGCAAGACCCCATCTCTACTAAAAATAGAAAAACTTGGTAGGTGCCTGTAGTCCTAGCTGCATGGGAAGCGGAGGCCAGAGAATCACTCAAGTCCAAGAGTTTGAGGTGGTTGTGAGCTGTGATGCCAAGGCACTCAACCCAGGGCAACAGAGTGAGACTGTCTCCAAAAAAAAAAAAAAAAAAAAGGTTTTTAATGTTGCATTTTTCATATAAAATATTTTAATTTTAAATATTTTTATTGAGGTATGGTTTATATACAGTGAGGTATACAGATCTTGTGTAGTTCATTGAGTTTCAACAAAGGCAGACAGCTTTTACTGACATTCCTATCTAAGTACGGACCATTTTCATCACCCTTGAAAGACCCCTCGTACCCCTTCCAAGTCAGTGGACCCTCCTCCCTGAGGCAACCACTTTTCTGGTTACTTCACCATAAATCAGTTGTGCCTGTTTTTGAACGTCATGTGAATGTACTTGTGCTCCTTTTGTGTGTGGCTTCCTTCTCAGTCATCTTCCTGTTGCTGCATGTTTAGTGACAGGTTGGTGATAGGCGCTTCTGGTGCCCAGCAGTATTCCATTGTGCTGACACCCCATCATGTGTCCCCTCATCCTCTGGTGAGGGACACCTGGGTTGTCTCCAGGTTTTAGGTGTTCTCCTGTGTGTTTCTCTAAGAGCTTTATTATAGTTTTGTTTGTTATGTTTAATTCTATGATCCATCTCAAGTTTATAATATGAATTGAGGTTCATTTTTACACATGTATGAATATGGTGTATATGAGATATATATGTTTGTTATATGCTACATTTGCGTGAGATATCGCCAGTCACTCCAGCACTATTTGTGGAAAACACTTTTCTTTCCCTTTTGCATTGCTCTGGTAACCTTGATCAAAAATCAGTCGACCATATGAGGGTGAATCTATTTCTGGCTGATGCCATGTTCTGGGTGTGAACAAGAGAATGTCTGTTGGTAAAGCCTCATCTCATGGTGACATTCATGCCCTCTTGGCAAAGTGAGTTGATCTTTGTCTTTCTGTCTCTTCTCGTCAACCCCAGGGGACTCAGAAGAAGATCCTTGACATTGCCAACATGCTGGGCTTGTCCAACACAGTGATGCGACTCATTGAAAAGCGGGCTTTCCAGGACAAGTACTTAATGATCGGCGGGATGCTGCTCACCTGTGTGATCATGTTCCTCGTGGTGCAGTACCTGACATGAGCCAGCCATGCCCAGCAGCTGAATAGTGTTTCCACTGTGTGCAAGTGTGTGTGAGTGTGTGTGCGTGAAAGAATGGGGGGCTTACGGGCCAGCTTTTGAAATGTGTGCCTGTCTTAACTCTGAAGACACTTAGGAGTAATTGTGATCTAAATTCAAACATGCCGTGTTTTCTGTGACATCTTGGAGGGGGACTGGGGTCACCAAGATGCATGGTGCTTAGGAAACGAAAGAAGTCCCTGTTCTGTCTCTCTCACTTTCACTAGGGAAAAAAAGAATGGCTTTGGTGTCTTTGTCCACACAATTCGTGTGCACCCTGGGCAGGCTTCCACAGTGAGCCTTGTATGCAGGACTCTTCACGCTGTTCACACCTTGTCGTCATCTGTCCTTTCTGGCTCCTAACCGATGGGCTGGAGCACAGGCAGAAAGAGAAGAAAGGGCTTCTTTTCCTGTGCCCATTAGAGCAGACTGACTTGCTCTTGTTCCTAGCCACCCCCCACCCCTAACGACATGTAGATGACTAACTGCTAACACTCATCACTCTTCCCTGGAAGCAACCACCTATGGGAAACAAGACATGGAAGCTGTTGCTGATAACAAGTAAGATTTTCCAAACTATGGGGTGTTTCTCCTTTCTAAAGTGAGCCTAGTGTTAATCCCTGGGAGTGTTCAGTCCTGAAACTGAAGATTCTAGGCACTGATTTTTTTCTTGTCTTTTATAGAATGGTTGATTTTTAAAGACTGCAGCTTGGTAGCCGTACCTTGGTAGCTAACAAAGGCTTTGTTAGGCCTCTGCCCTTCAGAAAGTAGCTATAAGCAAAGGTTAGTGATTTGTCGATTACAGTCTCATCTCTGATTTTAGCATCTCTTCATTCTTTGGGTCTCTTCTCTTCCTGGCAGTGTATTAGCACCTGCCAGCCAGGCCCCCATTCTGTTTAGCCAGTGTGGGCAGATACCCTGAAGGCATCCCTAGTGTGTTTGTCCTTGTAACACTGTTTCTAGGGACCAGGACCTTTTTCCTTCTCTGACTAGGCTTGGATGAAGGCTGTACCAATACCCAGTATATGGTGGAATTTATTATAAATACGGTCTGTCTTGAAGTCCATCTGATGTGATTAATTGCTAAAATTACCAGAAAGAGCTGGTTAGTATATTTTTTCATTTATCACAGGCCTTGCCAGCTTTACCAGCTTTAGGTGCCGTAGCCTGATGGCAAGACATAAAATAACCCTCAGAATTCCCCCGAGGGAGGAACTGGAAACCTGGTCAGTATTAACCCTACCTTTGATTGCCTTGCCCCACCTACTTCCTGTCTTTGTTTCTTCTTGCTCAAACTATCTCCTGTCTGATTTCGCTTTTCGCTATGTATTTCTTTTACCTCCCAGAGTCCCCTCCTACCTGTTTCTGTAGCCACATTGGTCTCTTCAGTCACATCTGTGGCATATCCTCTTTTGGTGAATTTTCTTACTGGTTACAGGTTGTTAACTTGAGTTTCCTGGGTACTAATGTCACACTTTTGCTCAGGTGGCATCTCCATTGCTCCTACCCCTCTGGTCCAAACAGGGGCCCTTGATTTGCAGGAAGAAGGAATCTATGACTCGTGGTTAAAAGGGTTGAAGACCCTGCCAGAGTGATAACTGTGTCCTGGAGGGTGGCAGAGGGGTTGTGGCATCTTCAAACCTAGCTCTAACTTTGGGGAGGCATAGTTTGAAAATTTCGTCACATCCAGCACCCATGCTCTCACATGGCCTACCCACAGAGCTCTCTTAGCAGTCCATAAAATAGATTATTGGACTGCACTGACCTGGCTGTCCTATTTCCTTCCTGCATACCCAAGGATCCTGCTAGGCGGTACACTTTGGAGGAAGGTATTCAAGGAGCAGCTGAGCCACTTGGATTTGAACTCTGAGAAGCAGAAACCTACCTCCAACCCCCCTCCCTGTACTAGCTGATAGGACATCAGTGCATTTCCACACTTTATAGCAGTTGTTGGCCGTGATGAGCTTTCATGCTGCACCTTCAGAGCCAGTTTCCCTTCTTTGGAATAAAAATTAGGAAGGTAGTTTGTGGGTTTTACTCCTGGGGCTGAGGAACAGCAGCCAGTGTGTCTGGAGATGCAGGGGCACCGGGACCATGTTACCATGTGACCACCTTTCCTCACGCTTTTGCTTTCAGTGCCCTGTGAGATGCACCTTGGTCTGAGTGGGTAAAAGTGTCTCCACAGCCTCAGTGTAGGGAAGGGCCCAGGCCAGGAAAGGAGCACCCTCTAGTGGAGTTAGGGGGTGAATTCTTGGGCCAAGCTGGAGCAGGAAATTCCAGTGGATGGCCCCGTGTATGTAGTGTACAACAGGTGGGTTGTCAGGAGGAACTTAGGAATGTCTTTATTCCATGGACATTTGCTCGCTGTATGACCACTTTAAGAAAAGCCAAACTCATAGACCAAGTAAATAGAAGAGTCTTGATTTTAGAGAAGAGTCACTGCTGAGTTTTGTCCTAAGTGGTTTTGCCCTAATGAATTTAAATGGGTTTCATTTGCAAATTTGGATTTACACCCATTGTTTTTCAAGCACATCAATTGAATAAAGTTGAGATTTATTTTATTTAGAAAATTATATTTTGCAAAGAAATTTGGTATTCATTGTTCTAACTAGTGGCCTCATTTTTGTCTCCAGGCCAGAGACTCTCAAATACTGGCCAGGGGCTGGGCTGAGCAGCTGGTGGACTTTCTAGGAATTACAGATTCCAGGGGCCTATCCCAGACCTTCTGAATTAAATCTCTGAGTTGATCGTGTTTTGTATTTTGGAAGCACTGGTCTTCTAGACCAGGCGTCCTCAAACTACAGCCCGCGGGCCACATGCGGCCTGCCTAGGACATTTGTCCAGCTCGCTGGGTGTTTTTGCCGCCGCTGCCTGTCCTGCTTAGCAGCCGACTCGTCCCAGGGCCCCTGCAGTCCGGCCCTCCAACGGTCTGAGGGACAGTGAACTGGCCCCCTGTTTAAAAAGTTTGAGGACCCCTGAAGACAGAAGTTGTCTTAAAGATGATAGTGTTTGAAAGTATACGCTGAAGCTCAGCATATATGCATGAAGAACAAAACTTGTCCGGTCCAGCCTGCCAGTGGCCCTTACTGGGAATCAGGTAGTTATTTTCCTGTGTCATCCCTGCTGACCTCAAGCCCTGAGTTATCCCCATTGTGCAGACAAGAAGGCTGAGCTTTAGTGACTTTCCCAAGGCCCCACAGTGGGTTCTGGAGGAGCTAGCCTCTGCTCTGGGTCCTGGAGGAGCTAGCCAGTGCCCAGGCTTATAACCACTGCACTGACTTGCCACCCATACTTCCCACCAGGTGCTCTGCTGGAATGTGGGGGATCAAGAGGTGGGCAGGTGACTGAGGCAGTGAAGCCTGCTGGCCTAAGTGTAAAGCTGTAAGGTATTTGTTGCAGACCATTCAAACCTTACATGGCAAGTTGTGTTCTAAAATAATTTCCTAATCAAGAGAGCATTTGGGGGAGCTTCTCAATGTGGAGGGTGAAAGCTGTGCTCAGGCCTTGCCACTAGGGGGTGGCATAACTCTGTCTGTGGCTGGTCGACCCATTACTGTTCCATGCCATAGGCCTGAGATACTTTTTTTTTTTTTTTTTTTTTT